GAGAACCCTTTACACCTGAGTGTATGTCCCAGTACACGACCCCAGGAATGATGAACCTATTGGTAACAGTAACAGCTCAGATACATACTCACAAAAGAAAATACACACACACACACACACACACACACACACACACACACACACACACACACACACACACACACAAACAAATAGACAAACAAACAAACACCCACACCAACAAACAAACAAATAAAAAACAAACAAAAAACAAAAACAAACAAGCAGACAAAAACAATGGAGAATAAAAGAATGCATTGCATAGAAGATTGTTTTATTTTGAGCAGAAACAAACAAAACAACACAAAAAAACCCAATGCGATTATAAAAAGTGTAAATAAATAAGCGGTGTAAAAAAACAAATGTGTAAAGTTAATCGTTATGATACACGAGTCGATGACGACAAAGTGCCACAGAGATTTCATTGACAATTATATAAAGCCCAACATCATTCATTCTAACAACAAAGAAACCTTTCTCGCTTCGTCATTTCCAGCGTTAGTATGGTCAGTGGGCTCATAAATGACGTACTATTCTTTTCTCTTTCAATCTGTTGATTTTTTTTTCTGCAAAAAATCTCTTCGTCCTCGCTCTTTAGCCTTTGGCCAAACCCCATGCCCCCCCCCCCCCTCCCAACCTTTTCAGATATCTTTCACTTATCTCCAATCTAACAACACACGAAAGAACACAAAAAAGCAACACCGATTTTTGAAAAAATCCACTATAAACAGCAGCAGCAGCAGCATAAACAACACTAATAAAAGCGACGATACAAAACAGTCAACGAAAGATTAAAACAGACACAAAATAGAGAAAAGCTTAATAGCATTATGATGAACTATAAATTGTTAAAGGAAAACAAACTGGCAAGTCGAAATATTCCTACCGGTCCAAAAAAAAAAGGTAAATGAATAAATAAAAAAAAAGAAAAAGAAAAGAAAAACAGACATCAAGCCGTAAAGTATAACAGATCTAAACAAATATATGCCAATAAAAGGGACTTTAAAGCCGTTAGTGCATTGTTCCCTCAACCTGTTTTCTTTTTCAATGGAAATCAAAGTAATAGTTTTTATGATAAGCGGAATGACTTAAATAAACGTTCGTTTTTGTGTTTCTTGTTTTCCTTAAACCGGGTTGGTAGTCTTGCCTGACGAAAAACACCATATATTTAAACAAATTTAATGACATTCAAAAAGCTGAAAATAGTGAAATACATTTTACTGGCAAATTACCAGCGCAATTTCTTATTATGGAAACCTCTGTAAACTTTATCAGAAATGCTATTTCAGACTGCGGTTCCTGATACATGTACAGTGTTAATTAAATTGTTTGAACCTTCAGGAGCAATAAAAGAAATTCATAATACGAAGAGGCAAGACATAAACATGTACACGTAATTGTTCTTGTCCAAGTGTCTGCAGTAATACAAACACTAGCCCGTTTCCGGTCATTCACAAGGACTTAATCCACTTTGTATTATTAATTTGGTCTGTTTTAATACGATGTAATCAACAAAATAAGACACATCATACTTTGAAGTTCTCGTCAACACCTACCACAAAGCCATGTTTAGGAAAGAGACTCCTCTGACTAGAAAACCGTGGTCCAGTTATCATGACTCGTATCTAAATACCATATTTAGAGAACGGACAGATCGGCAAACATGACGGTCTCTACGAATCAGGAAATAGGAAAAGACAACAGCTGTGGGTTACCTGTCAAGTGATGGGCACACAGTCCCGGGGTAGATCTAATACTAATAAGCATTTTAAAAAGTTTGTTCAAAGAACGTACCGGTAATTTGAGACCGCAGTAACCTTTTAAAAGTGACTTACAAGACTGCATGTTTCGCTACAATCTTGTTGATTCGAATCACAAAGCAACTCAAATGAAGAGTTTCTTTGCTATCGGTGGTCGTAACCTTATTACATGTAATACGTTACTTTTAACCAGTTGAATAGAGTATTGCGTTCAAAATTCTCCAAACCAAAACAAGTTTGCCAAAGTATTTTGATAGTTATTTCGATTTTGGCTATAGTTCTGATTTTGACTTTGGTATCTTTGTTGCTGCTGTTGCTGCTGTTGCTGCTGTTGCTGCTGTTGCTGCTGTTGCTGCTGTTGCTGCTGTTGCTGCTGTTGCTGCTGTTGCTGCTGTTGCTGCTGTTGCTGCTGTTGCTGCTGTTGCTGCTGTTGCTGCTGTTGCTGCTGTTGTTGCTGTTGCTGCTGTTGTTGCTGCGGTTGTTGCCACGGTTGCTGCTGCCACTGTTGCTGCTGTGGTTGCTGTTGTTGGGAGGGATACATGCTGTTAGAATAGACATTTCTATTTGCATTTACACGGTTGAGGTAGTAGTACGGAAAAAGAGCGTCCATATCCATCCCTGCGGCATAAAGAGGAGCGACGCTGTTGGCAACTGAAGACCTCGACCCTTGTCCACGATTTTGAGCCTGGTCGTTTAGGAAGTACATGTAGGGGAAAATATCTTGTCCGTAGAAGAGGAACGGGAAACTCGACATCATTCTTTGTTGAGGAGTTAGCTGAATCGGGGCTGGTCTCTGACTGTACCGGCCTCCAGTGTAAGGGTTGGAGGTCCCGGCGCCGGTGCTGGGGCCTGGGTCTTGCTGCTGCCTGGGAGTGCTCACAACAGGAGCGCTGGTTGTTGTTGTTGGTACTTCTGCAACTGCCGTGGTTGTGGTGGGTGCGGCAGTAGTGGTTGGTGCCGCCGTAGTAGTGGTGGTAACGTGTACAGTGTCAGGCTGGGTGTTGGTGTTTGGTGTGTCAGGACCTCCAGGGATGACAGGACCAGCGGTTGTCGAAGTGGGCGCCGCCGTCTGAGACGTGGATGCTGTTGCGGATGTTGCTATCGACGTGGCCGTAGGTGATGATGTTGTTGTGCTGTCAGCTGAAGCTGTGGGTGTGGGACCGCTTGTGGTAGAAGCTGTGGCGCCAGTGGGGCTTGCAGAAGTAGAATCTGTTGAGATTCCGACCGTGACGTCAGTTGACGTAGGCTGTGGGGCGGAAGTAGACGTCGCTGAGCTCGTGGCTGAGGCTGTAGACGAGGCTGTGGCTGAGGCTGTGCTGGTGGAGGCAGTCGCGGTGACTGCAGTGGTCGCTTCTGTGGAGCTCTGCCCTTTGCTGTCGTGAACTAGAGTTAGGAAAAAAAACCCATGATATATCACTTTATTCATCGGTTTGGAAATATTTTTCTCACAATGACGAATGCAAAGGCATCGAAATGATACGACATCATAAACTGGATTCCTACTTTGTTTAGGTTTGTCAGAGTTTCTGGCTAAAACCTGGGAAAATCAAGGGTTACAATATAGAGAAAAACAACAACACTCCCCCCCCCCCCCCCCAAAAAAAAAAAATTTAAATCCCAAACCCAACCAACAAATAGAATGTCAGAAAAAATAGCATAACCGATACCTACGACTTGGAATGCTTTCTTTTGCAAAAAATATATCTACATGGGGAAGGTTTTTTTTATAAAAATATCGGACGGAGAATACATAGAAAGGACAAAGACATCAGCGTAGGCAACATCACAAAAGAATCGGAACAATTTTGTAAACAAAAGAAAGGAAGTTGACTTTTTCATAAGAGTAAAATAAAAAGGCTAAAAATAATGCTTTGGAAACACTCAATGCGTGTGTCACATCTTGATGTAAAAAAAACATTCTCTTCCAATACAAGGGGAATAGTCTAATTACAGGTGGTAAGCCCTATTCTTCTGTTCATAACAGAACATCTAGGTAAAATTATCGGGGAAAAACAAATGTTTCAACAAACAGTGATGGTGTAAATCAAGAAGTTTATTCAATAAAATAAAAACAAAAGCAAAACTAAAATAAACAAACAAAAATCAACAAAAAAGCCAGATTATCCGGCAAACTTGTAACGTCGACGAATAATATGGTAGGGAAGGGACACTGCAGGTGTTTTGGACGTGGGCAAGGCATGCATCATCACTGTCAGGACCTACATAAAGGCCATTACCAAGACTCTTCATTGAAAGCGTACAGTGGCTTCTTTCACAAACGTCTCAATCTGTTTGGAAGAAAAAAAAATTGTGAACAACCAAAAATACGAGATCTACGGCAGAGAAAGGACATTTTATAACAGGGCTTGGCGCTAAAACTAAAAGCTTTAGGATCTAGATGCTGGCTCACGATCTCTATACTCGTGCACCTTACTCGGGTAACTTGCACATGGAGTGGAAAGGGATTAATACAGGTATGGCTCAAGCATCACATGTTCAGAAAATTATGAATGGTAGTTTGTGTCTGTTGGTCGAACTTTGAGCACTAAATATAACAGGTTTTCATGCAATTCAACTGTCTTTTTGTTTTCGTCTGCATGTTGCAAATGAGTAATTTTCTATTCATCACATAAACATCAAGACAATATTAACACCATGAATGGTAAAATAAACCAGGGTGCTTAAAACACAAGCAAATAAATGCTTTGTAATATGCTGCAATATATAGGCTATATATACATAATCTGGAGATTAATGGTTACAAATTGAGTACTTACCTTTTAATTTCAAGAAATACCACTTACACATACAGATGATACACCACTCGCATTTGTGGTGTCATTCCCGTTTGTTCATTATATAGCCTAAAACTGAAAGTCCTTTGAAACTGAAGTAGGAGCCTGCAAATAACTGCAACTTCCACAAGATCGATGTCATCTTTCGAAACTGATGACATCATGACTAAAATGAATGCTTCTGGTGTATTTGGTTGCACATTGAGCAGAAGGTTGGATTCTCTGTGAAGAGATGTGGAGGACTCATAACTAGTGTGAGGCGAGCATAGGCGAAACGATTCATGAATGGAAAGTTTTCTTCTCAATAAATCAGAAAAAACATAGAATGCCCTTAAAGAAAAGGGATAGCGCTGCTTTGTGTTTGAAGTGAACAAGCCAATCTTACCCATTAGTACAAGTATGGCATGATGTGTTATTAGTAGAATGAACATTCTGTAAGACCCTCGTCTAACATGAACGTCCATGAAAATTGTTCGTTTGGTCTATGGAAAACGGTTGATCTTCCTAGATATGCTTGCTACAAGACTCTAGGAGCTATGGGAATGGTATTAGGGCTGTATTTGAAAACACATAATATTACTGTGAAAAGTAGTTCAATGGACCTCAAATGTTGCAATCTTTTTCCCTGAAAAGTCAAATCCTAAATTCAAATCTCGATTTGTGGCTAAAAGTTTGTTTGTGATTGCATCTTTAAAGATTTCATAAGTCCACAAATAGATTTAAATTAAACATAGCTGGCATTCATTGTATTCAGCATATGAGTATGAATCAGGAACCTGTTCTTCATAATGCCACAATTCACAATCACAAGATCTTTTCCGTTCCCAAGTTATATGGTTGTTTTTTTTAGAAATCTGTTTGTTCACATGCGTTTGGATAGACCTACAATGTATTGATATTTGTGTGTGAGTGTTGTGTGTGTGTGTGTGTGTGTGTG